ATTGAAAGCATAGCCGTACGATTCCAATTAGACACAGGTACTATTGTCAACACTCTACCAAGGGAGCCCCATCTCAGAGTGTACGTTCGATTCAATCAAGAATGCCTGCGTATATGGAGTGGTTCTAGATTTCATTTAAATGGCTCAGATAGTATCAAATACCTTAACCCAAGTGACGGAGCCTCACATCAACTGGAGTTTAGGATCGTGCAGGAGGAGCTCACGTTGATTCTCAGCATTGATTTGATCCGGTGGCGCGGTTTTGTTCCTTTTACTCACGATCGTTTTGTGTATGTTTACCAGGGAGAAACCGATACTCGTGACCAGTATCCGTCACTGTGTAGCCCAGGTTTAGGAAAGTTTGAAAGAACCGCCCACTTGTCGTGAGATCGTTTGATACGACCGATAGCGCTAACGGCTAGGAGAGTTCCATTTGCCCTGCGTGACACGTTCTACACTGAATTGAGATAATTAATGGGAGAGGATGTGGTTGCCAAAGTTAACAAGCCGATCGACTTTGTTATTCAGTTCGCAATTGTTATGAAGAAGACGGACGAACTACGCTTGTGTGCTGATTGAAAACCGTTGAATAAGACTTTGCGTAGAGAGCATTACGCGCCAGCAACCTGAGAAGACATTTTACCGTATTTGGCCGAAGCTTTGTTTCACGAAGTTAGACCTCTCTTCGCATTCTGGCTTGTGGTTCTAGATGATGAATCCAGTTTCCTTACTATCTTTGCAAGACCATTCGGGCGTTATCGTTGGCTGCGTTTACCGTTTGGTTTGAAGGTGTCGAGTGAAATTTGTCCAAAGCGATTAGTGCAAGCGGTAGACGATTTAGATGATGAAACTTGCATGGCAGATGACATTTGATCCATAGCTCAAAGTAAGAAGAGCAATACGCTAATCTTCACGGTTTCTTGCAGCGTTGTGTGCGAAAGAACATCAAGCATAAACGTGAGAAAATGTACTTCGGAAAGACGGGGTGCTTTTCCATGGACATTTGCTAACAACTCAAGGGCTAAGGGTTTATCCGGGAAAAGTAAGGCAATTCGTGGGATGCCGCCACCTAATGATGTGAAGGGAATCCATCACACAGTATTAGTAACGCGCTTGTATTCAGGTAATGCCATCCAGCGCAGCCTTTGTAGGTAATGTGTGTCAGTAGCCAAGGCGGAATTTTTGCTGTTCTCTTTCAGAATAGAAAACTTTTGGATTTCCGCAGTCGAACATTCAACGTAAGTAAGCAGCGCTATGCGCAGGTTGAGAAGGAGATACTTTGGATAGTCTATATGACCGAGTGTTGCAACGAGGAAGAAAGATAACATGGTATACCAACCACAAAGCGCTTGTGTCAATAGCCAGGAAACCGCTGCACGTCGTTCCTCGTCACCTTCAGCGTATGCTTATCTGGCTTCAATATTAGGACTTGGATATTGTGTATACGGCTGGTGCAGAGATGTTTGCCGCGGATACACTGTCAAGAGCTAATCTGCCGGTATTCTAGCATAATTCGTAAGAGATCGAATCAGTACTCTTAGTACAGCGCCTGGCAGTGACAGAAGATGGCCTAAAATAAATAACGCGCCATACATAGGGAGATGCAACACTTTCTGCTTTGTGAGACGTTATTTTCAATTGTTGCAAAAGAAGCAACTGTCGAAGGAACTAACACTCTACTTCAATTTTCGAGATGAATTCTCCGTCTGCAACGATAGGATGTTCAAGGGAGGACGTATTATGCTTCTTTATCGCTCCGAGGGGAAATGCTGAAATACGTTCATCGCGCTCACCTTCGTGTCAACTATACCATTAACCGAGCAAGAGCATTGATTTTTTGGCCAGGATTGACAGAGCCAATAAGGGATTGTGTATCGAATTGGGAGGCATGCCGTTCATGCGAAATACGGCAGACGAGGGAACGAATGATGTTACATTATATCCCCGATCGACCGTGGTGGAAATTGAGTTGGATTTATTCAGTGATAACGGGAATGAGTACTTACTGACGGTGGATTACTATAGTGATTACTTTTAAATCGATCTACTCACCACTGCGACCACCGAGGCAGTAATCAACCAGGTCAGATGTCTGTCCGCGTTGCATGGTATACTGGAGGCGCTGGTTTTCGACGATTTGCCCCAGTTTACCAATGCTGCCTTCCAGGCGTTCGCAACCAATTGGGAAGTTGTGTACTAGCAAACCAGGTCATGTCCCAGTCAATCCAATGGAAAGGCGCAGTCGGCACTGAAGCAAGCCAACCGACGGTTTTCAAAGGCTGGAGCACCCGTACCTCATGCTACTGGAGAATCACAACACCCCTGCAACGAATATCGGTTTGAGCCCGATGTAGCGCCTATAAAGCCGATTGACTGGAACTCTTATGCCAGCCTCTGCCACACTTTTGTGCGCAGTTTTGCTACTGCGTGAGAGGTGATAGGACAATATTTGACGACGACTGACTAATCAGAAACGACACTATGACCGCGGTGCACGGGTACTACCTGAGCTGACAGTGGGGGAGGAAGTGTGGGTTCAATCATTACCCGATAGTCAAGAGTGCCAGGTCATTTGCAATAAAATTTGGAGGGAAAACGTTCAGAAGAAATCGAGTGTATTTGGGACGACAACGGAGCAACAATCTGGATTGGGAGTGGAGTGCCAGATTGCGTGTGGCATTGAGACCAGCTTCGCAGATACAGCGAAAACGATGCTGAGTGGCAAGATCTACGGTGTGGATAACAATATGGAGACGCAAGAACACGAAAACTGGGAGGCTGTGGATGTAGTGTCAGATCAGATTGCGCAGATGGACCAACTGAGCGAGTCAGCGAGCTAATGCGAGCCGGGCGTGACGGATTCGATTACTGGACTCGGATTGGCTGATATTCGCGTGTGTGATTCACCGTTTGTTTAACTGAAGCAAATGAGGAACCTCATCGACTCAGACGGATCATTATTTTTGGACTTGAACATGTAATTTATATGGAGGTATTTGCTTTTCTTTCCTTCTGTGAGTTCGCTGATCTGTCTTTGCCGAATGAATGATTGTCCATGAAGGTCTGAATATTGACGCAACCTAAGTTTCTTGAGTGCGTGTGATCGCTTAAACCACGGCATTTCCCTCATAGTCTTCAGCTCTATATCCTGATGGATGCAATGTTGCGTTAGATATGCAATTTCCTGCACGAACCTCGATTATATTTGGGATTACGGTAATCCCTCTCCGAGGCATTGGATGTGGAGTGCGGCGTACCAGAAGACTCAGTGCTCGGTCTAGTTCTATTCTTGGTTTTTAGAAACGATCCGGCGAGGGAAATTATTTCAGATTTCCTATACTTCTCAGATGTTATCAAGTTATGACGGGCGATCTGAGAACCGATTGACCACAAAAATCTGCAGTGTGATCTCAACATTATTTCAATCTGATCTGTTCCAAATGCATTACCGTTCAATGTGAAATAATGTCACCCTGTGCAATTCCGCCATAATCACGGCTGCTTATAAATTCTTAGGTTACATATATTGCAAACAAAGTCCTATAAACGCGACCTTGGTGTGCTCATTTGAAATGCTCTTAAGTATTCAAAGCCTTCAGTTGCAGCTGCGAAGGAGGTCATCCAGCACGTCGGCTTGATGCAGTGATCATTCGGATGGTGTGACCCATCCATCTTCCTCATGACGCACAACTCTTATGTGCACCCTCACGTTGAATTTGCCCTCCAAACTTGGCAATTTGGAGAGACTAAGAAGTGCTAGAGCAATCACAAAGCAGGGCCACAAAGAATTTTAAGGACATAGCAAATCTGTCCTACAATCAAAGGCTGAAATTACTGGGATTTTTCAGTGGCGGCCACCGAAGGCTGCGCGGCCATCAAATATTAGTCTACCCAATATTGATTGATCCTAATCACGTAGGTTGTCAGTTGCTGAAACTGGGACATAGCATCAATCTCAGAGATAGCCCTCTTAAATGGTGTGAGCAGAATAGCCGTCTGGAATGCCGGCAGAACTACTTTTCTCTTCGGGTTTGCCAATCTTGGAACTCTTACAAACATAGTTGTTTCTTCCTCCACCTTGGCTATTAAAGTAACGTGGATCTTGTGCTTGACACCCCTCACATCGTTGTTTAAACTACGCTACTTTGGAGTATATCAATAAACCCTTCCAACCGGATTAGCATGTCACATAAAGCCGAGGAGCGGTACAATAGTGAGCATTATGCTTTTACTATTCGCACGGAGTAAAACAAGTAGAACCATTCTCCAAATTGCCTCATCGTTAGCAATCTATTCCTTCGAACATCACTATCATTGAGCGACATATCTACTAGATAAATACTTAAACAGACAACTCAAAAATTTTAATGTTGTGACTTTTACCCCCACCATCCTGCGGGACTTGTCAAGCAACTGCTTTTTACCAGGCAAATATCGATATTCATTGTACATCGTTAAACGTAGAGCCCCAAGAATACTGTTCATCTCAACTACTATTGTAACGATTGGTAGGTTTCTAAATCGGCAATTGGGGTCTGGATATCTGGCAAGCTGGAATCGGCACCGATTTTTGCACCAGAACTTCAAATCAAAAGTGTTACCCACATGTAGATATCAGGTGCAAGCCAGTTACACGTAACAGAATGAGGGATGCTGTAGATTGCGGCCTATGCCTCAACAGGCTAAGTCCCAGTACATAAGTTAAGATCGAGGCATTATAACACATAGTCAACACGTGCTGAATAAACTATGAAAAAATCTTAAATTCCATCTGAATATATTGGTTATCATTGTGTCGAAATTGGTAGACTATATATATGTTAGTTGTCTTAAACATCCCAGTTTTTGTCTGCTTTGCGTAGCTTAACATTATTACAAACTTAGATATACGTATGGTTCACTGAAGGCATAAGTACTCCCAGTAGCTAATTATTGATTCAAGCATACTTAAAATTGTTGTTCTTATTTTGGACAGAAAGCGAAATTTGGAAGCTGATTACCTTGACAAAACGGAAGCCTTTCCAACATTCCAGTTAACCTGTTAAGTTTCCAGCAGGTGAATTCCGAAGGCATTTGAGTTGGAAGCGTCAGGTTCATTAATCCGCGTAATTTGGCTTTTGATTCACAGTGAAAGAAATGTAATGAAGATACAAGGATGATTGCTTTTATCGCCACATTTCTACAGGCCATCAGCCGTTCAGTCTGTCAAATAGGAAGACCTGAATCGGAGAAATTTTAAAAGGTGTAACATGGAATAGCGAAAAAGAAATCAAAAGCTTTCCGTGAGGTACTTTTAACTAGTTATATCGCACCTGCATTGCAACTACTCAGTTAACAAAGCTTGCTTTATTCATGTCAGTTATTGTGGTAGAATGATGACGGTTACACGTAAGATTTTTCGCTTTAACGACACCAATTCAGTAATTGTATGTTATATGTAAATTAATTTGTGCATAGTTCTCAGATTCTAGTTAAAGTCGATAAGTGTTGATGTTCATACTGACAACGGCATTCCTACATTTATCCCGACCACTAGCACCTTGTAAAGGTTGGTTTTTATCTACAGTACAACAATAAAATGTCTCCAGTTGTTATACTTTGGTTAGTAACGCACAAGTAGCATCTACTTCACCGTTTGTATTTCACCTTCCTTCTTTAAATGTGTTTCACAACAGTGCGGTATATTTTATTGTTAGCAGTAGCAAGCCTTTTTGAAAAAAATGATTTACTCATTATGATTGTCCACCAAATTTGACCACCAAACACATATTACAGTTCTGTCTCTGTGGAGTTCAGATGGACATATTTATCAATTTATACCCATGAGGCTGCATAATTTAAAGATAGAAATACGTGGTGCTTGAGCTGATCGGACTACCCAATGTCCCTATATAAGGATTAAGAATCACTTCCTTAAAAGCCTTGGTGGATGGTCTGGTGGGGCTATCGAAAAATATGTTTAAAAAACATTTAGTGATTTATATCAATGGATGGACTTATTGTCTGTAATGCTGTAATCATGTACTCCGGTGACAGTTACTAACTACAATATAGATCCCAGGAATGCAATAGAGAGATAAAGCTAAGTAAAAATAATGTAAGTGGATAACTGCGTCATCCGACCATCTTTAAAAATGGTTAGTGTGAATGCAATAACGACTGCTTCGGGGACATACGCGAATAGAAAAAAAAATCCTGCCGCCCTCCAGACGAGTATACCGTTCTGAGAGTTTCAGTGAGTGGCTTCGCAGGTTAGTATTTATGTCAACTTATAGTAAATAGAGGCACAACTAATGTGGGTAGTGCAGTATCAAGTAGCCACTGTCAAGTCACATGGTAATCGAGGTTATCTTCTACTGAATACACCCAACCTCTCCAGCCTCTGCTCGTATGGAAGATTGCGCATTCCAATGAAGGGCATGGATGTCCGATGTTGAGGCTGCTTCAGTACAAGCAGGTCGTGTTTCAGCCATGGCTGCAAGCTTTGTATTGCATATTCAACATAGGGGCGATCATATGCATTGGGACCCAGTCAGAAAATAGAGATGCATTTTCAGATTGCCTGGAACAAGTAAACTTATCCCCAATCAAGACAACCAGATCACAATCGACAGGATATCACTGCAGTATTGGGTCCATAGGCTGTATGATCAGTTGCTCTGGTTTTGCAAAGAGGGTCCCTTGCACTTACCATATATTACCATGTATAAGCCGATCCGTATATAAGCCGACAGCGTGGATTTGCTACGTAAAATTTGTCCAAAATCGTAAGTCTGTATATTAGTTGACTCCCAAAAAGCAGAAAAAAGAGAATGGAAATTAAAGGTGGTTCGGTGCTGCTCCTCCCAACCCTAACGCCCCATAACCGGTTTCATCCACCTTTGGACTCATGAGATGGAGATAGCCTAAGTTGGGTTGGACCTCGAGGTCTAGTGGTTCAAGGATCACGCCTTGATAACCATAGCTCTAAGATCTATGAGAAACACTTGTCACAGCCCTGAGGAACTCAATGTTGTAGTTAGTATAACCACCGTATGTTTGGATTTTGATTCGCATTCTCCATTCAGACCTTGGTCCACTTTGAAAGAGACCTCTGTCATTACAATCACAAGGACCGTATCCGAATTGGAGTTGGTTTGATGTTCCTCCTCCCAAACCTGAAAACCCATAATCGGTTTTGTCTTCTTTTGGACTCATTATATTATTTCTCACGACTGACGTCCTCACTACCTGCTCTCACTTGAGTGTGCTCAAGTGAAAGCTGCTCTACTATTGGTGAGTTCTGGTGACCTAATGTTATGACCGCAGTTAATGGGGCTTATAGCCATGAGAACACAATTGTTTACCCGCGCTGGACAGTGAATTGATTAGAGGTCAGGTCACAGGAAACAAGTAAGACAGTCAACTATATGAGTTAAGATAAAAGCGTGTCAGACACCGCCTCGCGTATTCGGGGCCTCATGCATCCGAATCACAGTGGAGAAGCGGGCGAGAGGGAAGTTCACCATCAGTGGTATGGGACCAGGTTGTATTTTTAATGCACTAGGTTGATTGGCATAGCATACTGTATAAGCGCTTTGGTTCGCTAACCAAAATAACGCTAACGCGAGGTCGGACGATCCAGCTGAGAGGGAATTTGCCCACATTTCGTGCGTTGTTCCAAAGCAGTGGAAAGGTGAAAAATTGGGTGCACAGAAACGATGTGCGTACGCTGCTAGTTTTAAATTAAAAGTTATCGCTTTGGCCGTGCAATCTGCTACTTGTTTAACCGCATGCCGTTTCACCGTCAACGAAAAGCAAGTGAGAATAGTGAAAGGGAAAATCAGAATTGTCACTAATGCCTGTAGGCAAGAGCGGCACGCAGTAGCAAAACCAAATTTCCGGCAGTGGGGGAAAAATTAGCCTAGTGGGTTATGGATTCACGGCGTAGCGGAGTAATTGTTACCCGAAAGATTCTTCGGATCAGGGCGCACACAATGTTAAAAAGTGCTGAATTCCAGCTTTCAAAAGCGGTGAATTTTGTTGCTTCCACCGGATGATACAGTCGTTTTATGAACCGATTCGACTAGTGCTTACGGACCCGCACAAAACTAGCGCAGAAATTGCCGAAATAATTGGGGGTTTATGTTAAACATTTACGGAGGTTTGGGATTTAGCTGAGAAAGCAAACAGATTTTGAACTGTCGCAATTTGAAAGTATTGAGGATTTGCCATCAAATCGCAGGTTGGAACAAAAAAGCGCTAACCCAGTTTTGGCATGGACAACGTACAGTAGAAGATATGGTTTCCAGTTGCTTTGGAGTGTATGGCGGATGCTTCCTGTCTATCGCCTTTCATTATTATAGCGTAAGACGCTGCCTAAACAAGCAAAGTTCCCAAGCAGTGTGTTTTCACGGGCTCAAGAAAAGGGCTGGATTGAAAAGAGTGGCACTTTTGACTGATCTAGTACCTGTTAGGGAAAGGGAAAGCGTACCCTTTTAAAGAAACTATCTGTGTTGGTTTGGGATTCCATTCGGGCACACCAAACTAAGAAGTTTGAGAAACGATGGGGAGAACTAAAGTCGACAGTGGCTTTAACACTCGGTGGACTTACATCAACCATGCAGCCACTAAGACGTCTGTCTCAATAAGCACTTTAAAGATAGGCTTCGGTCTAGGCGAATTCAAGGATGGCGTCCACTGATCTAGCGTTACCGAACGGTGTTAAGTTGAAAAATCTTTACATTTTTACAATGGTAGAGTGGATGAATGCAGCGTGGCTGGATTTGCCATCAGAAATTATCGTCTGACCATTCAAAATTGCTACCTCAGTAATGCTATGGATGGAAGTGAGGACTAGGCCATTTGGAGGAATATGACAACGACGAAATCTGTATAGTTGAAGATGACCATATTCACCCTGACGTCCCAATTACAGACGGTCAGTACCAGAATCTGTTCGGGGATTTTAATGCGGATCCTATTTTCGAAGGATTCGATTAGTCTTAATACCGTTGTGCAGTTAATGCATATGTGAGCCTATAAAATCTACCGGTACGTGCTGTTCAATCATGTTTTTTTCCAATGATATTTTGTGTGATGTTGTTCGATTCTGCATACTTAGTATGTTTATTACTATCCTCCGCCACGAAAGTCAAATGTGTAATATACCGAGCATTTTCGACACAAACATACTGTGGCTATTTATAGACACATCCCCGCCAGGGATACCGCCTGTCCCTAGGGAGTGGCGCTAAGGCAAGGTAGGGGCATAGGTGTGCGGTGGATTTCTGGGTGGATTTTGCATGTGCTTTTTTCAAACTGCGCATAACTTTTATAAGCCGACCCCTTAATACAGACAAGAAAGTCGTCCAAATTTCCTCCGCTTCTACATGGTAATCTACGGTACTTACCTCAAATTGTGTTAAACTTTATATTGGCCACTGACGTATCCCGTCTATTTCGCTCTGAAACAGATGCCGACCGGCATTCCTCTGTAACCTGCTCCATAACTTCATATCGTCGGCAAACAGCATGAAGTTCGAAGATATTTACTGTGCAAAGTCTTTGTAAAAGTCCAAAAATAGTAGTAGGACTAGAACTGGACCATGCGTCATATTCACTCGACTTGTATGGAATCAACTTAGGAGTTTCGCTCTCAGGACACTTATTACGAGTGAGCGAGGAGGATAGTGATGCAGCTTAAGAGAGCGGTTCCGATGCCGTAAATCTGGTACTTGGAAAGGAATATCAGATTATCTGGACCAGGGGTCACGGAACTATGGCATGCGAGGTCAGTTCATCAAGCACACCGACTACACCCGAATTAGATTAATAAAACATAAGGAACACGAAACGTTGTGGCTACATTTGCTTTTGACGATGTATGTTTTATTGTCCGAGACCCTATATTATTAAAACACTAACGCGAGCAACCGCCTGGATGTTACATATGACACTACTACAGTACTATAAGTGACTCCACATCGTTGGAACATGAATTAAGCCAGCGCGCGTAAAATTGAGCCGTGCCAGCTATTGTGTTTCCATTTATCTTGCACCGTTGTGCAGCAATTTTCCGTTGATCAATTCCACTGAACCGTTTGCTACCTAAAATA